TCATTTACATGATTTGATCTGAGCAGATCTTTATTATTTGATAAAATCTAGGTGGCTGTCATATGGCTGACGTTACTTCAACATAGCTGTCTAATTAGTTCAAATTTAACAATTAGTTATCATTCTGTATCAGTTAAAACAAGAAAATTTCTCAGAAATTTGCCGAAAATGCAAACTTATCCTACATCACAGAGAAGTGATATGCTTCTATTAGTTGGTGAATGCAGTGTGCATTCATCAATTAATAGAATACTTAAATGCTCCTAATTTTGTCTAGTTTGTTTTTTTTACGGAGATATGTTAAAGACAGTGTTTAAAAAACTCGACCAGCTATTGTCGACAACATGAGAGAAATTATTGTAGCTGCTTTTCGAGGTAGAACTCCACATAATGCCTTTTAAAATGAAAAGATGATTTTGAAAAGACAATCATTTTGTGCAGTTAACAGGAAAGGAAGCATTTTGAGCATTTGATTTCATCTAGCTAATTTTTGTCACATAATTATGGGTTTATATCTAGTTTTAATTGTGTAATAAATAAAATATGTAATAAACGTGTATCTTTTTATTACCGATGAGTATTTTACTCTACAATCTTTAATTTTTGTCAAATTAACAAAATGTAAATCACAGCCACCCTAGATTTTTTCAAATAATAAAGATCTACTGACGCAAAATCATGAAAATTCAAATATCTAGGAAAATCTTTGTCTGAGGGGTGGGCAACCTTAATAATATTTTGAAGATATGTACATTCCCCATTGAACACCGGAATAATATACTGGGTGTTCCATTTAAAATAAAGGAGTTACTTGCTTTTAAAAGTGACTAATGTTCCATATTAATTTTGTCTCACCCTGTATAACTTTTCGGGGCAAAATTCAATTTGGTTTAACCTACAATGGTTACTGTAATTAAATATCAGGCTATATAAGGTCAACTAAAATTTAGGTAGCTGTTATCGAAATTTAAAATTTACTCTTCATTATCACAAAATGTGAAATATGTCAAAATCCATAGATTTTAGGTATATGCTTCTTTAATAAAATTCACCTTTATTTTTTTCCTAGAATCCGAAAATCAATTAACATATAGGGTGTTTTATTAGAAAAAACAAAACTTTGATGTATAACTTTTTTTGGGGACACTCTGTATAATTCTATATATTTTTATAAAATGCTTTCAGATAACCTACATATACTGCCAACATTTTATTTCGAGATAAACTACCGTTCTCCTTGGAGCTTCCGCGGCGTATGAGAGGCGCCACCCTGTATAATTTAAAATTTGTGTGGGTAATTTTATGTAACTTCTTAAATATAATGACTTTTTTTCTTTACTTTTTTTCATTTCAGACACAGAATTTCCATTCTGTAAACTTTTGCATGTATTGTACATATTATGTATATACATATTTTTAAAATTATTTTGGTATATTTGGGTTTTTCTAGTCACAATTAACAGTCACAAAAATTGTCGTTTTCGTAAAAAAATGTCAAGTTCGACGCAGTTATCATGGACGCCACTTATCGCGGCACGTTTCCTGTTGTTCTTCGGAATAATGCCGCTTGTCTAATACTCATTAAATAAGTATTTGCGTTAATTACAGTCTGAGGCAGCCACTCCGACCAGTAATCGATAGTTAATCTTTAAAATTTAATTCGAACACACCGACCGAACACGAAGTGTTGCATGTTTATTATTCTAATTAACTTTGCTATGGCTCCTTTCCATTAATAAGAACTTTTTCATTTCATTTTTTCCGTTTCCCGACTGTTAGATGCATAACTAAGCGCGTGTGCATAAAGTACTTAATATATTGTAATATGTAGAATGTAATAAAGACGGTATTTTGATTTATTCGATATAATAGCTGTTGAAAAATAGGAATTGGTTGTTTCCATTAATAACAATTTGTCTATTGCAGTTTTTTTGCTGTAAAGTGAACTACGTGTGTAAAAAATCTTCCGAACTATCAATAGGCACCTACCCCAGCATCCTTCAGGTAGGAATGTCTAGAGAAGCTCAACAAATTAGACAAAGAAAATAAAGTCCTCCTACTCTGGGTGCCTGCTCACCAAGGAATTCTGTTTTCCAAACGGGAACCAACTGGAAGGGGAACTGAAGAATCTGGAAGACTCCATCCGTAACTTAGAATGGGTGTCCTCTAACGGTCTAAGACACTCGAAAAAGTTCCTGAGAGAAAAATCAAAGGTTTTCTTTGATTTAAGTAAAAACAATCTTCGGATTGTCACGGGGTTTCTAACAGGACACTGTCTCCTCAACGAACACCAAAGTGGATTGAAACTGAGAAACAACGGCGAATACAGATTCTGTGGGGAAAATGGGGAAATGTCAGAACACTTCAATAATGAGTGTGCCAAGACGACAACCATTCGTGCGATAAATTTTGGTTCGACCGATATTGGAGACAAACTGACGAGTCTATTCTCGCCTAGAGCTGGAGAAATTAGAGATAATCCAGTAGACTGTATGATTAGTTTTTGTCGGCAAACTTTCTTAAAGAATCATATAATACACCTAGACCATTCAAGCTGTCTAATGTGGTTCTCATGAATGACAGAGTCAATTTTACATAAATAGAGGACCTCCACCGAAAAAAAGGGACCCTAATTAATAGGTAGCTTCGGAACCATAGAAAATTACGGTGGTGTCTCCAGCTTAAAAAAAAGGAAATATAATACTAAAAACCCGAAGAAGATTTTTACCCAATTGCCTAAATGACACAGCCAGAAAGTCCGTAATCAAATGTTGAACGTATTTTATTAAAGACATGCACACAGAGGGACGGAGGCCATTTCCTGTTTTCAAAAATTAAAGATCCCAAACCGCAAAGCAAACCACAGGCGAGATAGTCGTGTTGTACACCTGCGACTATATAATTAGCAAACGACTTTTTTTACCTTTGGATATGTCGATAGTTTGATTAATATAGGGCCATAGATACTAGACACAGAAATCAAAATACAAGGCAACCGATACATACATCCTCAATAATAATATAGTGGGTGGTGCATCAGCGTTGGCAACATAAGTAATCCCATACAAATGTTGAACTGTCCATTATATTATGCTATATATGTCTTCCATCTTCAAAGAAACATAACATACCCTGTATAAATTGAAATAATATCTTCTTTAACAAATTGCCTCTATGTATACTTAATATATTTTTTAAATTCATATGTAAACAAAGCTCTTTAAATCTTATTCCTCGTAGCCTCATACATCGTTGTTCATCACATACGACACGGAGTATTGTAGCTAAACGATTAGATTTTTACATATTGTAAGTTTTGGGTTCGTTGAAGGTTGAAAGACTATTAGAGCTACAATTTAAAAATATTTTTACAAGATACAGAGTGTCCCAAATAAATAAAAAATATCATAGTTGTATTTTTTTAAATGGAACACCCTATATACTATTACATTTTTAGTTTCTACGATTAAAATAAAGGTAAATTTGATTAAGGTTTATTACACTTAAACCTTACATTTTCTGAAATATTTTCAATTTTGTGAAATTGCAGTAGAAATTTTAAGGTTTCATTTCTCCAACGTTATCAAAGTTTTTAATACTAAATATTTACTGAAGTTTATTTATTGATCAGTTATACCCATGGAATACTGACATTTTAGATTATTTTTAAAGATGTACCAAAATTTTTAAAGATGTACCAAACTTTTAAAGAGTACAGATACTACTATTAATTTTTATTTATTTCATTAAAAATAAAAAATAAAACTGTTTAAATATTTGTTAAAGAGAACCAATTAATATGATTCCAGTATTCAAACTACATTAATTGACTGTTTGCGTTGATTAATAATAATTGCTCCAAATACTAAAAAACTGAATTTTGTATGTGTATTAGACAGTGTGGTAAAAAGTAACACCTTAAAAATGATATTTCATTTTTTGACGAATGCTTATTGATAACAACAGAGGCGTTCATTTTCATAACTTATTATTATATTGATCTCTGATTCAAATCCACATTTATTTAAAATAATTTATTAACGAACACAATTAAGTTTGTAATTAATTAGTATTTGGGCGGAAATAATGTGGTATATTTAATTAATGGTATACTCTTTTATAAAGATTAAAATAATTTTCTTTTTGCATACAAATGGGCTAGTAATATTATCGTTTTGCTAACAACGATAATATTACTAGCCTGTATATTTTGTACATTTGTTGCTTTAAAAACAATCTAAAATGTCAATATTCCGTGGGTATATTGATTAATGAGGTCTAAATTATAAGAAAATGCATTTTGTATGAAAACTTGAAGTGATAGGTAAAAAGTGGTATAATACAATTTGATTGACAATTAAATTGTGCATCTGATTCTCCTAAATATACAGGGCTTTCCATTAAAATTAAACAAGTTATTGCCGTTTAAAGTTAAAAATTATTTAAAATAATTTTTTAGACACTCTGTATGAGGTAGTATTATTTTTATTATTGCAACACAATAACTGATCGATAAATAAACTTCAGTAAATATTCAGTATTAAAAACTTTGATACCCTTGGAGAAATGATGCCTTAAAATTTTTATTGCAATTTCACAAAATGTAAAATATTTCAAAAACGGTAAGGTTTAAGTGTAATAAACCCTAATCAAATTTACCTTTATTTTAGTCATAGAAATTAAAAATGAAATAATATAGAGGGTGTTCCAGTTAAAAAAATACAACTTTGATATTTTTTATTTATTTGGGACACCCTGTATCTTGTAAAACCATTTTTAAATTGTAGCTCTAATAGTTCTTCAACGAACCCAAAACTTACAATTTTTAAAAATCTAATCGTTTAGATACAATAATACTCCGTGTTGTATGTGGTGAACAACAACTCTATATACGTGATATATTTTTTAAATTCATATGTTAACAAAGCTCTTTAAATCTTATTCCTCATAGCCTCATATATTTCTGTCAAGATTTTAAAGCAAAACGTTTTTTTTTTCAGATACCTTAGTGACCTCAACACCAAACACTCCTACCGAAAAGCAATATGGTAAGTCCCTTTTAGAGAACCCTTTTACTATTCTTAGAACCATGTTTTAGCTTCTTCACAAAGAACTGGCCATATTTTAAAATTGTACTCTTAAAAAACTTTCTCTTGCGAAAATCATATAACTCACAAACGTCAATATTTTCGAAGCAATAGAAAGCTTAAAATATTTATAGGACGCTGTAAAAAAACGGAAAAAAGTTCGCAAACCTTTGTGCTTGTAAAAAACCCTTACTTCAATAAAATATTTAAAGTTTTAAAAAATTGTTACTCTTAACTCTAATTCTTTTTTAAATAGGGGTACTTTTTATGGCTATGGTTAAAAATTAAACTGGAAAAAAAGTTTGGTGAATATTATTTTTTGATGCCTTTAGGGTTTTATGGGGCTCGGAACCTACGTAGAATGGTCTGCTGAGTTTTGTGACCCCTCCAGCGGACCACGAAATTCGTCAACACTAATTAATTTGCTGAATAAAAGACACCTGTTTGAAAAGGCGGTTTTCTATACATGGCATGGGGGTATGGGTTTGCGGTTAAGGAAGCAAAATACTCAAATATTTTGCAGGTTTATTTTAATTAAATAATAATGGATATCACATGGGAATAAAAATAGTTTGTGTGATGTAACGCTGTTTCGGGTAGTAAAAATTAAGTGAAAAAGAACCCAAACAGGGCATCGCGATATATTGTGACAATCTCGAATGTTAATAAAGTTCTCACGACAATTTGATTAAAAGCAAAAATGGATTCAAGCAGTTCGATGGAACAAGTGAGTAAATAAAGTGCTCATTATATATATTGAAAAAATTAAATAGGTACCGTATGATCGAAAAAAAATGGCGTCCAGTTGGCTGGGAAATGACGATCGATGACATTTCCCATATAAAATGACAGCGATCTTCATTTCATAGCCATCGTTGACGCCGTTTTTTCTCGATCATACGGTATATACTATGAGAGGATAAAATATAACTTGCAGTATTAATGGTATACCTTTTTTAATCATCTAGTGCTTAAATTTTTTATGAACATCTTCTAAAATTATAATTCTGTACCTTTAAAAAATACGTTATAGCCGAAATAGCCCCAATTATGCCCCACTAGCAAAACCAGTGATTAAAACTATGCTGGCTACCGTAGTTGAACTCATCTAAAAAGTGTTTCTAAATAGAATAATTAATTATAATATAAGTTAGACCTTCTGGAGATATATCAAAATATTTACTTTTTTATTTTTATTTTTAGAATTTTCACAAATTATACTTTCTAACATTTTTAGAATAATTATATCACAAATTTTTCGAGTATTCGCTGTTTAAATCTGTGCATTGCTTTAATTCGCTGTTTACAGTATTCTCCGATAGAATGCACCAAGTTTATACATTAATTTTATAAATAAATTTTAATTCATATGTTGTTCTTTGATATTTTAAAAGACCTTACATCTCATTAGTTTAAATAGGGAAATATTTCATACTTTTTAAAGATACTAGATCATTCAAAGAAACCAAGAAGTTGATATAGAACATTTTTTCGGAATGCTGTGTCACCCTATACAGGATTGTTCACCACATACGACACGGAGTATTGTATAGGTAAACGATTAGATTTTTACAAATTCTAAGTTTTGGGTGCGTTGAAGGACCAATAGAGTTACAATTTAAAAATATTTTAACAAGATAGAGAGTGTCCCAAATAAATAAAAAGTATCAAAGTTGTATTTTTTTTAAATAGAGCACCCTGTATATTATTGCATTTTTAGTCTCTACGATTAAAATAAAGGTAAATTTGATTGAGGTTTATCACACTTAAACCCTACCGTTTTTGAAATATTTTCAATTTTGTGAAATTGCAGTAAAAATTTAAGGCTTCATTTCTCCAAGTGTGTCAAAGTTTTTAACACTAAATATTTACTGAAGTTTATTTATTGATCAGTTATTGTGTTGCAATAATAAAAATAATACTACCTCATACAGAGTGTCAAAAGGTTATTTTAAATAATTCCTAGCATTAAACGGCAATAACTTGTTTAATTTAAATGGAACGCCCTGTATATTTTAGGAGAATCAGATGCACAATTTAATTGTCTATCAAATTGTATTATACCATCTTTTACTTATCCCTTTAAGTTTCTGTAGAAAATTCATTTTCTTATAATTTAGACCTCATTTATCAATATTCCCCCTTGGAATATTGTTTTTAAATTGTTTTTAGAAACAAAGCAACAAATGTACAGGTGCTAAAAACGATAATATTACTAGTCCATTTGTATGCAAAAAGAAAACTATTTAAATATTTATAAAAGAGCATACAATTAATTAAATATACCACTATTATTTCCGCTATTATATACACTCTGTATCTTCTAAAAATATTTTTAAATTGTAGCTCTAATAGTCTTTCAACGAACCCAAAACTTGCAATTTGCTAAAATCTAATCGTTGAACTACAATACTCCGTGGCATATGTGTTGAATAATCCTGTATAATCATCTTTATTTTTCTTTCGTGTTTCTATCGCAAAAATAAACACCAACCATAACGGTGACCAACCTCAACAGTGCAGTAACTCACGGATAGTTAACCATTGTCATTTACGCCTACCTCGATTTCGTTTGACAGTGTTATGAGCCGATGGATATCTTTGCCGCCGCGACGGAAGGAACTTTCAGATAAATTATAGCGGTTTAATTCTTATACATATTATATTCTTTATTTCGTTTTAGAAATTTGGAGATCCTTATCATGATTAACACACCATAAATTCCCCGTTTTCGTTTACCTAACAGAACAATGGGACTGGAAACATTATAATTTGATCGTTTAATATGAAATTGTCGCCTGTTTATTTTACAAAATTTAGATTCGAAAGTTTTGAGAAATAATGTGACGATTTATTTTTTTATTTAATTTGTTTTATATGGTATTTAATAAGGAGTGAATCAATAATAAAAAAAATTGTGTGTGCACTATGTGCGAATATTTGTAGTGTCAGTTCTTAGTAACAGCTATTACATTGACGGATTTGAAGGACATGTTTGAAAAAGTGTAGTTTGAAATGTTGAAAAAGCAATAAATTAAAAGTTAATAAATAATTTCACAAAATTTCTATTAAAATAACCGTCTGTCCGCCTGAGGATTCCATTCGGGTACCTCTATCCACGTGCCGAGTTTGGTTCCAACAGACCCATAGTTAAGAAAAATCCTGATGATTTCGTCCATTTAGAGGCATCGGTTCGAAACGTCGAGGGCGTCATCCTGTAGCCCGTCCCCAATTATGCCGAAATCGACCCACATTTATTTCAAATCCTTAATCCCACCCTGATGAAGATGTAAACGAAACGTCGTATCCATCTTTGTAAACGAAACGTCGTATCCATCCAAACCAAACCAAACCAACATACCACACGTGTCATTGTGACAGTTAGTTTTGACGTAAGAAACGTCAAAAGTTGATGTCGTCCGATCGCGACCAAATTTAGTGGGTAGGCTATGTGAGCGACGGTGTACACGGTCCCACCCTGATGAAGATGTAAACGAAACGTCGTATCCATCTTTGCAGGGTGGGACCGTGTACACCGTCGCTCACATAGCCTACCCACTAAATTTGGTCGCGATCGGACGACATCAACTTTTGACGTTTCTTACGTCAAAACTAACTGTCACAATGACACGTGTGGTATGTTGGTCTTGGGCCAATCTATCGACATACCAAATTCCATTTAGAGGTTGATTCTCACTATACCTCCCGTATCCCGTATATATAAATTAATACGGAACGGAAGCTGACGTATAGAGTCAATACAATAAAAAAATACGGAACGGATATGGAATGGAAACGGAAGGTATAGTGATCAAATCAACCTTAATCGGACGATTTTTTTTCTCTTCCGTTTACATAAAGTCATCATGTAAATGAATAGGACAACGAACACTATCCGTTCCGTTTCCCTTCCGTTCCATATCCTTTCCTTCCATACATCTTTTTGGCGGACGGACTGAAGCGTATCGGAAACAGAGTTGTCAAGCTCTTACATTTGTACCAGCTCTGTTAAAGTTTGGTTGATATTTATTTATTCTTTCACCCCTTAATTGAATTTATTACCTTTTTCAAAAGATACTAATTTTTAAAATGAAACTTTCGTAATGATATAAATTGTACAATAAAAAGTATGGAACTGACACGGAACGGAAGCTGGCGTATAGAGTCAATACAATAAAAAATAAGGAACAGATATGGAATGGAAACGGAAAGTATAGTGATCAAATCAACCTTAAATCGGACGATTTTTTCTAAGACGTAGCAAAACATTGAGATTTGTATATTAATTATAGAAATCTCCAACATCCTAAAATCTAAAATACCTCCCATAAACGAGTTGTTTAAAAAACCCTATATACCAACATGATTTTTATGGCACTTCTTCTCTGCTGGAGGGCCCTGTGAATACCTACCACTCAATAAATTCCCCAGAAAAATATCAATGACATTATCGCAAGCCGCTGCTGCATACAGGCGACGACAATCTCGCCCGACCTTCCAACACTTGTTCGACACATAATAATAAAGGGATTTCACCCCCTTTAGGCCGAAATCTGTTACCAGTTAAAAAATATGTCTTGACAGGAACGCGTGCCCCCTGGCCTAAGCCTAAAAACTTCCTCTCCCCCTGACGGTGTCGAAATTTCCCCCAAGGAATATGCTTATGAAAAGAGCCTCGAAACCTGTTGCCCTGATGCGTGTGCCCTTCCAAGACGAAAGGCCATTCACGAGCAGCCCTTTTGCTAAACGATTTCTTTCAATAAAATTGGTAAATATTATGGCCCCAAGGTATGACAATTCTCTAAGTTTTATCCAACAGCAGAACTGTTTCATGCCGATCTCTAAACAATAATTGATTTAAAAGGATCTACTTTCATTGTTGCGAATTAATAAATTATCAAGGTGCGTTTATGTTACTATGCAATTATAGATGTGCGTTTTTTTTGTAAATAATAAATAGC